AGCTGTTTGTTGCTACCAGCAACTGAATCATGTCATCTCTGTCTTCTGCTAGATCGGCATTTTAGTTCCAAATCATCACATTTCCTCTTTTTGACTTTAATAAATGGAAATTGCAATACTTTTTATTTCGACATTATCCTGCTCTAAGGCCAAACCAGTACGGTTTTCATCCATCTAATTAAGGTGAATTTTTTTTAAGCTGTGTTTGCAGGCACAGATGTTACATAATCCAAGTTCTTTTAAAATAATGTTGGTGGTTTGTGATGATGTCAAAGAGGAAACGGAAGCATCAGACAGACCATCGGCAGAGAAAAGCCTCATAACGTTTGCGCGCTGACAGAACGGCACAGAATGGTCCTGCTTACATTTATTCTAATTCTTGTGCTTCAGTGCGAAGGTAAAGCCTCCTTTATTTTTATTGCTTACTTTGATAACCACTTTGATAGCTTCATACAAGTTTTTTTTGTTACTTGTTAAAATTAGTCAATATTTCGGAAGACAGAATTGTGGCATGAGCGTGAGTTCAGTTTGGAAACAAATTTAAACTTGATTTGTGATCTTCTAACAAATCCAAAGCCATTCCACTATAATACAAAGAAATCATTGGACATTGAATGATTCTAAAAAGAAAAAGGGGGGGGGGACAAACCTCTTGCACTCACTTTATTCATTTTTTTGTTTGAAGATGACCATGTATGCTATATACACATTTTTCTAAATGTCCGCTTTCTTTGCAGTGGGGCTCAGTGAAACCAAACACGTCTTGTATCTAACACCTGGAAATGATGTCATTATGCCCTGTGACGATGTGCCTGATACATGCTCCATGGTTATCTGGGCTTACAGCAAACATGAGTCTCAGACAATAAATATGGTTCATAATGGAATTGTTGAGAAGAACTCAGCTCAAGCTGCCAGACTGAGTCTGCACAGTAACTGTTCACTGAGTATTAACAACATCACTGCAGAGGATGCCGGTCAATACTTCTGTCGGCCTGAGGGGACCGCTGATCAGGACACAACTGTGGACCTAAATATTTTGACCAGTGAGTATTTAGACTTCCATGGACTTCCATATATCCATATCTGTGAATGACACCGTACATTAAGCATTAAACACACCCGTTATCCCCACACTTACTATTATACAGCATTGATTTCCCTCTACACGTGTCATGTAATTGAATGTATCACCTTCTTGGGGAATTAAAATTCTCGTGTTGAAACATGGAGACAGGTCTTTAAATGAAAAGAGTTTTTATTTCATTGGATGAGAGCAGTAAATCTGCCCATGGCTTATGTATTCATTTCAAATTTTATATTCTAAATGAGTAAAACTACTATTAGATAATCACTTATTTAAGCTATTAAAATACCAGGAGAAAAATAGAACTTATTTGTAATGTCTCATAAGGTTTCTCACATTTAGGAAGATAATCCAGATATTTTGAACTTGCATAACTGTTGTCACTCGTGTTCTCTGCTCAGTTTCAGTATTTCCATCAGACACTGATCCAAAGGACGATGGAAACGTCACGTTAGAGTGCTCTCTGTTTAGATACTATCCCTCTCCTTGTAAAGAAAACAGTATGCGTTGGGTGGATGAGACAGGAAGTGTGCTGTGGGACAGAGATGTCAAGAACATTGGACGCACGTGTGTTTCTCTTCTGACTGTGAAGCTTCAGAGTGGCAACAAGAAAAGATACACCTGCCAGTTTGAAGATAACAATACTGTGAAGATAGAAGCTCACTACACACCTGTCCTCATAGGTAGGATAACATCAATAAGAAAAGTAAATTAAGATAAGATGGGATATAAGAGTGAGTCACTTTTTAAAAAGTGAATTACATACTTTTTAATGACTTTTGAAAGACTTTTAATGCTGATTACTTTGAATCCTCTGACAGATTCCACCCCAAACGAGGCTTTCATCATCATTGGTGCTGTGATGCTGGTGCTGGTGGTTGCCGTCATCGCTGCTGTTTTCATCAAATACAGGAGGCGTGCTAAAGTGACAGAGGGTTAGTAATCATAGTACATATAAATGTGGTCATTCTTGGGTCATCTACTTATCATCTAGTTCATCTAATATTATTATTACTATTATATATTATTACAAGAGCTCTATCCCATTTTGAGCAATCTGCAATAATTGCAGCTTAATGTTAACTTGTGAAAATGCTACATTTTCACTGCGGTTACTTCAGTCTAATATACTTTGCACTGGAAAATTGATTTAAGAAGCTCTACATTGTTTGTTTGTTTGTTTTTTTGCCTGTCCCGTTTGGCTCTTTTGCCATCAGAATTGTTGTCTAAAGGCAAAGAAAGATGCCCAACGGATTTACTTTACCAAATTGACCATCCCAGCCTTGCCATAATGGTCCATTTGATTCACCTTTTATTGTTTATTTTATTTTCACTTGCTGAATACGGGACAGACTTGACTGG